ATCCCCATCCCCATCCTAAGGTGCTTCCAAGGGTTTTGTTGTCTCAGCTGGTGCCTCCTCCAGAACCTCTATCCTGTGTGATGGTGCTGCTGCCTGGTGGCCTCAGGCAACAAAAATGTCATATGCCCACTAGGCCAAAGGAAAAGACTGAGTCAGGTTATTGACAGCATGAGCCCAGCATTCCATAAAATGAAAACCTAGTTCCCCATCACTTGATTCTGGCTCATCCTGAACTCAAACATCCCAAAATCAGCAGCCTGCCTTCGATTGATGGTGGGGCTACCTGAGGACAAGAAGACAACATCACCAGCTGTATCTCTAGCTGTGCGACTCTTTATTTATGAAAGTAAATCCCATAGTAGGCAGGCTCCCTGCCTCCAAGCTGGAATAACAGGGGAGCAGTGACCATACTTTTTGGAGAGTATGCCCTGAAAGCAGTGTGACTCTTCAGCCTCAGGTGGAGGGAACCAAAGTATCCCAGCAGGGACAAGCCAAATATTGCCTCCAGCTGTACCTGGCAGATCTGCAGGCAAGTGAGTAGTGCGCCTCTCTGTGCTGCTTCTACCGATGATCTGTTGCATCCCTTAGCCAGTCCTTTAGCCAGAAGGATGCCAAAAATGGCCTGTTTACATAATGCCAGTCCTTTAGCCAGAAGGATGCCGTGATACATCCACTTCATCTCTGCTTGTGACATACATGCTTGAGCCAAAGATAAACCCAGAAGGCCTAAAGAGTTTGTCTCCTGACTCTGGGAGCCCTGAGCTAGTTTTACCATGGATTTAATCAGAGTCCTGTTCCATCCCATGTCCTCTATAGAATTATGGTAATAGAGGTTGTCCTCATCAAGTTTGTGAATAAAGCCAAGATTCGCTGCAAAGAGCAATGTGCGGGTCTACTGCAACACAGGGACAAGTGGATGAACAAGGCTCCTTTGACCTTGGCCTCAGAGAAGAGTTACTACAGTTATAGGAGGTTTAACCCATCTGATCCATAAAAAGGAAATCTTAGTAAAGTGTCACAGGAAGTCTTGCTGAGCAATGTAACAGCCTAGAGGTATTCCAGGCCCATAATGAATTATCTTAAAGTCAAGTGTTTAGAGATAGGCAAGGTAATACTCCTGGCTGTAAGTAGATCAAAGATCTAGTAGCCTAATACAGATACTGCCAATCTGATTCTTGACACAATCACACTCTCTGCATGTGAAAGAACACCCTCTTCCTTTATTGCACTACCTCCAATAGACTCCTTCACTGTTTGCCAACAGTTGTACACAGTGAATAAATGTGCTTAGCTTAAAGTTCACCTGTTCTTTATGCAGCAAGATCATAAACCTGAAATACCCAGATTGCAATATAACAAAGAGGAAAACATTATGTTTTAGATGTAAAGCCTAAAAACAAAAGTTTAGTGGGGTCCTGGCCAGTGTGGCTCAGTTGGTTGGGCATCGTCCCATGCACTGACAGGTTGTCGGCTGGTCAGGGCACATGCCCAGGTTGTGGGCTGGATTCCCAGCAGGGGTGGTACAGGAGGCAGCTGATGGATGTCTGTCTCTCACTTGGGTGTTTCTGTCTCCCTCTCCCTTCCTCTCTAAAGTTCAATAAAAAATATTTTTAAAAAGTTCAGTGGGGGAATATGAGTTACTCTGTCTTATTAAGAGAAATTAGGCCAATAAAGCTGGTAAAGGGGAGCAGAGGCCAGCTTGCCGAATGTCCTTGAATAGTTATGGTGGAAGGAGGTATTCTTCTGGGGCTGCTCTATTTGGCTTTAGGTTTTTATAAACTTTGTGCCAGGAAATGCTTTACACAAACCCATTTAACCCTCACAACACCCCAGTGTGATAGGAACTATGATTATGTCTATTCTAAAGGTGAGGAAACTGAAGCACAGAGTTGATGAACAAGATACCCAAGGCCACAGGACGAGTAAGTGACACAGCTTAGATTTGATACCAAGCACAGGATTCCATGCTCTTAATCACTGTATCATACCACCTCTTCCTGTACGTGTGATGAAGCAAGATCAAGTTAGAATAGGGCGGAATTCCTCAAGTTTGGGACAGCTCCACTGACCTTCAAGGTCTCCCCGCCCACCCCCATCACATTTTCTCATCCAACTCCTGGGAACTAAGCCTCTCCCCACCGAGTCCCAGAGCCCAGAGCAGGTAGGTCTGCCCGGGTTTCCCTTACAGGTGGATGGTCAAGCTGCCCTCTATACGTGTTATAGCTCCTGCCCCCGGACAGCTCTGAAGACCAGGATCCAGAGTCCAGGGATGACTGAATCCAGGGCACCCTGCCGAATAGGATGGGGCCACAAGAGTCCCTTTTGCCTCCTCGAGGGCAGCCAGCTCCCCTTCTCTCTCTGGCCTCCGCGTGGACTGCGGCAGTAGGAGGGGCTTCACCTCCCAAGGACAGTGGGAAGCCGGGTTCCCCAGGCCAAAGGGGAAAAGGCCGGGGGCCATCATGGCGGCCAGGCCCATCTATGATCCTCGCGCGCCATCTGGAGGCCGGCGCCGTCACGGCCTCAAGAGAAGAGTCGGGGAAGCCGCTCTCGCCCAGGGCAGCCATTTCGCTTTATGGATTGTCGCATTTCCCGATATGCACTGCAACCAGAACTTGCGGCTGCAGGAAATGGCGGCCCGCGCAGGCGTACACACACTGGAAGGAGGCGCATGCACAGGCGCACACAGGAAGGTTTCCAAGCTGGGGCGCTGGAGCACGCACGCACGCACGCACGCTTTGGCGCAAGCGGAAGCACGCACCAACGCGAGCACTCAGGCACTCACGCACGCTGAGCCCAGGGCAGTTAGGCAGGCACAGGTGCACACAGTAAGGTTTATTGCCCAACTAAATGCGAACAGATGGAGGTGCACATCTTCTGCGCTCGCTGCCCAGACCCCTGGAAGACTGTTAGCTTCTCTCTGAGTTGACCTTTTTTTCCCCTTCCTAATCCAGAATTTCCTGGTTTACCATAGAAATCGTGATAACTCTAGAACAGGGTTTGCCAACTATGCCACTACTGACATTTCGTACTGGGTAATTCTGTGGTGGGGGCTGCCCTGTGTACATTGTAGGACTTTGGACAGCATCCCGGGTCTCCATCCACTATTTACCAGTAGCACCCTCTTCCCAGCTGTGAGAATCAACAGTGTCTGCAGACGTTGCCAGGTGACTCCTACGGGGTGGGAAGACAGGGGAGATGCCCCTGGTTCAGAACCACTACGCTACAACAATGGTTCTCAACCTAGACTGAACATGAGAATAAACGGGGAGCTTTTAAAAAGATATTGATGGCGGAGTCCCACCCCAGAACAATTTAATCTCTTCATAGAGCTCAAGAAGCTCTTTTTTTTTTTTTTTTTTT